CCAGGAGGAGAGATGATGGTATTTTCATTATTTGTATCAGCTTCCTTATTTCTGCTTTCTCCTTGTGGTCTCAGTGGATGTTATTATGAGCAAGTAAGAGCTGAGGTTTCTTTCCCTACAAGGATCAGGTTTTCCTCTTTGGCCATGCTGACGTGGCATGCCTTGGGTAGAGCTTGCAGCTTTGTGCCTTCCTGCCGCCTGCTCAGCCTGGGTCCCTCCAGCTGACTGGGCTGCTAATTCTAGCTCTTTGCTCTGTCCTGCCCATGCATCAGTGTCTTCCCCAAGGCAGACAGGGCAGTGTCCACTCTTTAGTAGCACCATTAAAGAAGAGTTTCTGCTCTGTGTCGTGTGCTTCACAGGATCCTGCTCCAACTCTACTCCAGCCATATCTCTCCCTAAGGGATAGAAATTCTGTGGAATCAAGGGATCCTGCCCACACAGAGACTATCCCTCTGTCCCTCCTTCTAGTCCACAATCTGAGTACCTGGCACCTTGGAATTTCTTGCCCAAATGCTTATAGAAACCCTGTGGGCCTCTTTCCTGAATCTATCTTTCGGAGTACCCTTAGGCCCAAGGGTAGCATGGATGGAAACTGGACAGACAGGCTGAGGGCTCCAGACCTGTGCACTCAAGGGACCTTCTGCAATGGAGTGGGAAGAGAAAGGGGCAGCTGTGGGCTGGCTGCAGTCTGAGGTTCTACATTTAAATCTGGCCTTCCGGGTTGTTATGAAGGTTTATTTGTCAAGGTAGGAGAATAGTACATATTTTACTTAACAGTTTGTCAGTTTAATTTATAACTCTTAATATTTAGACATTTGGTGCGTGGGCCTCTCTGTCTGCTCTTGCCCTGGGCTGCGCAACTGTTAAGAGCAGGACTGCTCTTTACTTTCCCTCCTTTTATAACTTACTCCAAATGCTTCCTGGTTTCCACTTCATACCTCATGGCACCTTAAAGAAAAAAAGAAAAACCCTACACCCAGTTAAATAAATTGCACTAAATCCATATGGTAGACTACCTGGCAGCTTCTAAAAATGGATGAGGCAGCTTGATTTAGGCTGATACGGGACAAGGGCCAAGAGAGTGTTCAGGGAAAAGGAGCAAAGTGCGGGTTGCTGGCACCTGCCACCCCCTTGTCACTGCTCCCCAGCCCAGCTGATCTCCCCACTCTTCCTCCAACATGCAAAGCACCTCTCAGCTCAGGTCCTGGCACTTGCTGCCCCCTCCCTGCTGGGACGTTCTTGTCCCAGTTGTCCTCCCTTCATTCACATGTCACCTTCTCAGAGAAACTTTCCCCACGTCCCACGCTGTCCTTATTTTCCTCCATAGCACTTACCACCACTTGACATATAAATCCAGTTGTTTCTTTGTGTCTCCTCTGTCTGTCTCTGCTAAAGTATAAGCTGGAAACTTTATTCCCTGCTGTCCCCCCAACACCTAAAGCAGAGCCCAGCACACAATAAGCATTCAATAAATACTAAGAAAATAAACTCGTACATGTAAAAAAGTGTATGCTGTGTACACATATATGTATATGCCTGGAATACTGATAAAAGGATGTACAAGAAATGAGTAAAATGGCAGTTGCTTTGAAAAGAGAGGAAAGGACATTTAGTTTTCACTCTGTCTTCTTTTGTGATGCTTGACTTTGTTACCACATGCATACACTACTTATTTTTTTTTTTTTTTTTTTTTTTTTTTTTCCGTGTCCGGCAATGGATCGCAACCCTCAGTGTTGCCCCCGTACCGGACCGGGACCGGCAACGGGATCGCAACCCTCGGTGTTGCCCCCGCGCCTCGCTCAGCCAGTGAGCGGGAACCGGTCTGTATGTGGGATCTGAACCCTCGGCGGGAGCGCCACCTAGCGCAGTGTGCCACCGGGCCGGCCCCTACACTACTTATTTTTAAAATGATCTTTTAAAATGCTTGCATTGTATAATGGTAAAAGAAAACAAAAAATTTAAAATATAAATGAATGATTTTTTAAAGTCCCATAAATTCATCAGCAGAAGTAAGAATTTTTTAAAAAGCAGTTGAGTCCTATGATGGAATTTTATATGGCAATGAAAAACAAACTATGATTAAATGTGAGCACACGGATGAATCTCGCAAGTGTGAACCAAAAAAGTAAGTTGTGAAAGAATGCACACAGGCAGGTCCAAAGGGACAGAAAGCAGATTAGTGGTCGCCCGGGGACGGAGGGAGGGGGACATGGGGAGGGATTATTTAATGGATACGGGATATTCTTCTCCTAGTCAGGGTTCTCCAGAGAAATAGAACCAATACGATATATATCTCCTACACATCGATATATATATGTTTACTATAAGTAAGTAGAGGACATTTATTATGGGATGGCTCACACAACTGTGAAGGCTGAGAAGTCCTATGATCTGCCACCTGCAAGCTGCAGAGCCGGGAGAGCCAGTGTGAAATTCGGTCTGAGTCTGAAGGCCTGAGAATCAGGAGCTCCCATGTCTGAAGGCAGGAGAGGACGAATGTCACAGTTTAAGAGGAGAGAAGGAATTCAGCCCCCTTCTCCTTTCTGTTCTGTTCGAGCCCTCCATGAATTGGATGATGCATGCCCACCCTGGGCACCCTCACAGCCACACCCGGAAATAATGTTTTCCCAGCTACCTGGGCATCCCTTAGCCTAGTCAAGATGACACATAAAATTAATTAAGATCACACTTCTTACAGGATGATGGAAAAGTTTTAAAACTAGAGAGATATGGTGGTTGCACAACATGTGAATGCACTGTAGGCCACTGAGTTGTAGACTTTAGAATGGTTAATTGTATCTCATGTGAATTTTGCCTCAATTTTAAAAAGCATATTGAGGGCCGGCCCAGTGGCGCACTGCTACAGTGCGCCGCTTGGGAGTGCGGCGGCGCTCCCGCCGAGGGTTCGGATCCCACATACAGACCGGCTGCTCACTGGCTGAGCAAGGTGCGGGTGCAACACCGAGGGTTGCGATCCCGTTACCGGTCCCGGTCCGGTACGGGCGCGACACTGAGGGTTGCGATCCATTGCTGATCACGAAAAAAGACAAAAAGGAAAAAAAAAAAAAAGCATATTGAATGATACCATTGATGTAAAGTTTCAAGGACAAAAAATAGTGTTATATATTCATACCGTTTGAGGATGCACAGGCATGTAGTAAAAGTATAAAGGAATACAGAGAACCCAGAAATGCTAAATTCTCCATAAGGTTAGCTCTGGAGGCTGGGAGGGGATCAAGAATGGGAAGGTTTCCCAAGGGGCTTCCTCTGCATTAGACACGTTTCACTTCTCAAGCTGGGCAGTGGCTACATTGTATGTTTTATACTATTCTTTACACTTTTCAGTTTGTCTAGAATGTTCTCTGATAAATGACTGAAACCTCACACAACTCCAGCCTGTACATTTACTTAACATCTTTAGGATCCTTTTATGGGCTGAATTGTGTCCCCCTAAAATTCATATGTGTTGAAGTCCTAGGACCCAGTACCTTAGAATGTGACTGTCATTCGAGCAGGGCATTCGAGTGGGCCTAAATCCAATGTGACTGGTGTCATAAGAAGAGGAGATTTAGACATGGACATGCACAGAGAGAAGACACAGGGGGAAGATGGTCATTACAAGCCAGGGAGAGAGGCCTCAAAAGAAACCGTCCCTGCTGACACCTTGATCTCAGACTTCTAACCTCCAGAATTGTGAGAATAAAATTCTGTTGTTTAAGCCTCCCAGTCTGTGGCCCTTCATTACAGCAGCCCCAGCAAATGAATATAGGTCCTTTTGTCCTCTGTCTTCCCCCAGTCCCCACAGGACCACGGCTTGACTTTTCTGATTTTTATGCTTGGCTCACCCTGTGACTTCCTGGTGTGACTGGCCACCAGAGCAGACAGATACGGCATAGAAACAGGGTGGGGGGGCCTGGTGATCTGTCATTTGCTGAAGGACTCATGATCACTCTCTACCCCTGTTTTAGTCTGTTTCTGTTGCTTGTAACAAAATACTGCAGAACTGGGTGATTTATAAAGAAAATGAAATTTATTGTTTACAGTTTCTGAGGCCGGGAAGTCCAAAATCCATCTGGTGGTGGCAACAGTGACCCAGAAGTCTCACATTGCAAGATGGTAGAAGCAGAGAGAGCAAGAGAGTGCAAAAAAAGACAGACTCTCCTCTTCTTTTAAAGCCCTCAGAACCACTCCCCTGACCACCATTTTTAATCCATTCGGTACTGCACGGTCCTACAGTCCAATCACCTCTTTAAGGCTCCACCTTTCAATTACCTAATAGGATCTCCCACCCTCTTAACAGTCACAGTGGGGGCTAAGTTTCTAATACATAAAATTTGGGGGACACAATTCAAGCTTCAGTGAGTTTGGGGGGGACATAATTCAATTCACTGCAACCCCCCAAGCCCCAACTTCCATTTTTAGCATTTTCAAAACCCATCTTTCAGGACCTGGACCTGGACCGTGCAGGAGCTGGGGCTCCAGAAGAAGAAATTGACAGTGAAAATGCCAGGGGCTTAGAGAAATCCTTGGGCTGACCATGGGCCTGGTTAGGATGGACGCAGTGAGGATTCACATGGAAAGTCACCCACCTACCCACTCATCCCACTCTGGGGGGCTGTGTCGTACCCTGGTTCCATGTATGAGCTGTGAGCCAGACTGCTTGGATTCGAATCCAGTTCTGCCACTTATTGGATGTGTGACTTGGGCAAGTTACTTAAACTTTCTGTGCCTCGGTTTTCTCATCTTTTAAACAGGCACGATAGTAAGAGTACTTACATCTTAGGGTTGTCGAGAGGATTAAATGAGTTATTTACGAGCCATCCCTGGAGATTGCTTGTGTTGGAACCCTGGACCAACCACTAATTAGCTCTGTGACTTTGGTTAAGTAACCTTAGCTGTTCCAAGCCTTGCTTCCCTGACCTGTAAAATGGGGCAATAATGATATCTATCTTTTAAGGTGGCTTCATGAATTAATGCAAACAAAGTGATTACACAAGGTCTGGTGCATACTGACTTCTCCAGCGATGTAATTTATTGTTACTCATGTTGCTGTCTGGGCCATTTCTGCTCGACTCTCTCATTTTGCAAGTCCCAGGAAGCTGGGACCCACCCACCTGCGATTCTGTCTGCACAGCCCTTGCCCCACACCATATGCAGTTAAGTGCTGCACACACAGACGAAGCTGGGGCCCTCTTTGAACTTTAGTTTCCTTTAGAATGTTAATTGATTGTCCTACTCCAAACCTCCCAGGCTGTTTCCGGAACTCTGAGATCTAAGTTTCTTCCTGTATTTGTTGTTGATTTATGCTCCTGTCCCTGTAGGAAGGCTTCTGCCTCTCCAGGGCCTCCCGGCCTGAGCAAGGGAAGATCTAGGTGGGTGATGCATGGTGCCTTTTGTGGAGCTAGATCCAGGTCTTGTTGGCCAACAGCTGAACTGTCGCCTTCATGTCATCTCATGGACTGCCAGAGGCTGTTGGTTCTGAGGCAGAGAGGGAATGCCAAGGCTCCATCTGACCAGGAGCATTCCTAGAAAGGGTTAAAGAAAAACAAAGCCAGACATGAATTACAGGCTGTACAGTCAGATTTTATTCAGTGCTCCTGCAGTAGGGGAAAGCACAGTTGGTGAAGCAGTGACTTGGCCCCTTTAAGGGGAGGAAGAGGGTGAGTGGGCAGGACTCAAGCAGAGTCAGGGAAGTGACAAATTACAAAAAGTGAGTAAGTGGCTGATGTCAATGTGCTTAGGCATCTGTTCTGTTAAGTGACACTTACTGAAGTTAGGCTCCTACCCTCCCACAGAGACCGAGAGATGGATCCATCTCTACTGATGATTACATTTCAAAGGAATGGCTACCAGGTCCTGGGGACAGACATTTCTGGGTTCTAGGAGATAAATATACATCTCAAAGGGACAGAGAAAAGATTTTAAATGGTGAGTTTTTAAAATAAAGGGAGGCCAATAGCTTATTATCACATGTTGGTGGGAGCAAACAGTAAATTCTTCTGGCAGCCTTGAGCATTTTCAGATGGAGCTCCAGTGGGGCAGGGTCATCCCAGGGACATGGCCTTGGGTTGCTTGAAGCCATGTTAAATGTATTTCAAGTCTCTTTGAGTATGGGGGTGGGTGGTGATGGTGGATGAAAACGTTTGTGTGAAATTTGCAGTTCTCATAGGCTGAAGCGGAGGCCTAGTCAAGAAGAGGGCTTGGAGGAGCCTGACTAAAGCTTGGCCAAGGAGAGAAATTTTGTCACAAGGAAAGTAGAAGTCAATGAGGTTGTCCCTGCTGAAGTTGTTAGAGGCTCAGGCATGAGCAATATGTTTGTTCCAATGTTCTACACATGGTCAAAAAAGAATGATCCTTTTGGCACCTATAGGGAGAGAACAGACATAGGTTCTCTGCCCAGTGGTATCCTGACTATGGATTTCCAGCTAGTCTTTTCTGAAAAGGTTAACCTTGGTGTGCACCAGAATCCTTGGGAGAGCTAATGAAAATGCAGATCCCAGGCACCACCTCCAGATTCAGGGCCAGGCCCTGTGCATCTGCGTATCACAAGCCCTCAGGTGCTTCTGGCACAAGTAGCCCGAAGGCCACATTTGAGAAACTGGTTTAAAGCATAAACAGAGTCTCTCAAATAGACACATGCACAACCAGAAGGCTTCAGCCAAGCATCCACAGTAAGATCTCTTGCCCCTCTGGCATCATGCTGGGCCCTGCCTCATGCTGCTATTTATTTCTCATGGGCTCACTTATCTCTTAAGTTGCATCCTTGCAGCCTTCCCTGGCTGGGTGTTCATTAACCAGCCATCTCTGTGGCACTCAGACCTTCACTGTGGCCTACGGGTCACTCTGAGGCTTCCCCACTGTGTTGGGGAACTGAGATCACCTCCTCACTGTCCACCTCTTCTCCAGGGCCTGAAGTCCAGAGGCGGTCTATGACGCCAGGGTCCCAAGCCCTCAGGGAGTAAGCAGATGAGAACATTTGATGGGTAGGGAGGCTTAACTTTCCTTGGCCTGCTGTTGTTTGTTAATGACAAAAAGCAATGGCTCCAGGGGCAAAGAGCACACCTGGCTCCCGGATCTTGGTTTCCAATACCTTCCTCCAGTAAAAGGAACCAGAGTTCCTTGGAGAAATGGCTGATTCTAGGGAAGGGACAGGGAAATATACAAAATGAGTCTCAAGTACATTGTAGTGCCAGAAAGTAAGGAAGTAACCACTTACCACCTCAAAAACCAAAAACCAAAACCCCACATTGATAGAGATATGTCAAAGGGGCAGATGAGCCAACTGAAGGAGTCAAAGCTGCAACAATTTCAGCAAAAAAATAAACTAGTATTGGATTGCAACCCAAAATATAAAATAAATATCTGTAAGTCCAAACTGATATGAATAAGTGATTGAATAAATTAATAAATGGGGGAGAAGGGACAAATCTCCCATACAGAAGAATTCCAAATAAATTATGTAGATACTCCATTCTAAAAGAGGGGGGAACGTAAGTCTCCACCTCATAAGTGCAGGTTATGTGTAGTGACTTCCTTCCAAAGGGTATGGCGTGGAAAGGAGGGAAAAAAGAAAAACCTTGGAGTGAAGAAACCTGCAAACACTACCTCATCCAGGTGATCAAGGTCAATATCAATAGTGATAAATCATCAAGGGTTCAGATCCCCGTACAGGCCAGCAGCAAAACCCAAAACCCAAACAAAACAGTGATAAGTCATGTTGACAGTATGTGCTCTTGACATGATGTGATGGAAATGGCTCTTTACCTCTGTGGTCTTCCTTGCAAAACCCACCACCCCAGTGTAATCATGAGAAAAACATCAGACAAATTCCAGTAGTGGGGCATCCTATAATATGCCTGAAAAGGACTCCTCCAAACTGTCAATGTCATCAAAAACAAGGAAAGTCTGAGAAGCTGTCACAGCAAGAGGAGCCTAAGGAGACGTGATGACCAAATGTGATGTGATATCTCAGATGGGATCCTGGAACAGAAAACAGCATTAGGCACAAACTAAGGAAATCTGAATAAACTATGTACTCTAGTTAATGATAGTGTACCCGTACTGATTGACTCATCGTAACGAGTGTACCATACTAATTTAATAATAGGGGAAACTGTGTATGTGTGTGTTGTATGTGTGTGTAGGGGGGCTGGATATGGGAACTCTGTATTATCTGCTCAATTTTTCTGTAAATCTAAAACTGTTCTAAAAATAGTCTATTAAAAAAAAAGAAAGGCAAGCTGGGGAGGGGAAAAAAATGTAATGGGGAACTCCAGCTGTGCCGGGGCTCCTGGGATTTCAAAGAAACGAAAGTGCGGGTCAGTCCCCTTCCATCTCATCCACACCTGCTCGATAGGGAGCTAAGGTATCTGCCAAAATGTCCTGGGCTGCCTGTCTCTCCACTGCTGCAAACCAACCTGAAGAAACACATTTCCGGAAGCCAAGAGTGAAGGTTTCTGGGCCTTTCACCTGATGATGTGGCCAATGTGGCTCTGGACCATTATATCAACTTGTCCACACTGCCTACTCCCCACCTCTAATCTTCTGAAAAGGGAAATTGGAGCCCCAGATGTGTTTGGGGATTAAAGGACCTCCTGAATCCTCTTTACATCATTCTTACTCTAACTTGGTTTGGTCCCACAGAGTAGAGAGCAGAAAGTGTCCCTGGGATGCTCTTTTTGCAAGAAAACCCCTGAGTGGGTGACTCCCATCCACACTGCCTGCAGCATCACTGTGCTATGTGAACAGGAGTTGCCTGGGTGGTAGTGGGAATGCACCTCCTCTATAGCAATTCTGGGGGGAGCAGGGGCTGGCTGGTACAGGGATGGCACCCTGGACTTAGGTGTTATCAGCACCACACTCTAGCAAGCTGAGCTAACCAGCCAGCTCTATAGCATTTTTTATATTGTTTGTAAAGGCTTGTCTGCTTGCTTTTTATCAGCCATCTACTAAGCCAGACTTCTCAGGGAGAGGGCCTGTCCTTTCTTCTGGGTATCCCCAGGGCCTGGCACAGTGACTGGTCCATAGAAGATGGTCAAGAAATGTTGTTCAACGAATCAATGGGCAATTACAGGTGGGCTTCTTGTCAGCACAGGATACCCGACATCATTCCCCTGAGATGAAATCTTTCCATCCCCAAAGAAAGACACTCAAGGTGTGAGTCACTGTGGCTGGAAGTATATAAATGCAGTTTCCATCTGACTTTTTGAAATATGAAAAAATCTTGCTGATTTTCCTCTTTCACTCTCCCATTGTATATGTGTGATGTGTCATAGGAAACATACAGAAGGAGCTGAGGATTATTGGACCAAAAGGATATCAACTGCCTTGAAGCAAAGAGAAGAGAGTTTGAGCTTTAATCATGAATTTCTACCTGCGTGTCTTTGGCCACGTAAAGGAGCACACCTATAACCTAAGGATGTGAATATCTACGGCACAGATTACGACAGAAATCAGTGGCACTTGGAAATAGACAAAACTCTATAGTGAGGATGCATTATATTCATAAAGTTTTCAGTTAGCAAGAGATCCCACCTGTGGGAGTAATCTGTGTAAGCCAATATCTATTTACTCTTGTCTCATAGATTCAATAGAAAAGAATCTTACACACACACACACACACACACACACACACAGATTGCTGATTCTCTTTACTTTTCGATGGAGCCTCAGAATTTAAGGATCAGAGACTGGAAACAATTGGCTTGCTAAAATCCACACCCTTGGCAGGGTGTAGAGGCCCTCCTCACTCTAGTCCCAACCTGCCACTCTGGCCTTGTTTTCTGCTCTGCCTCTCCATCTGCCACAAACCAACTTTTCAACATTCCCTTCCTTGCCTTCTTTGTGCCTTTGCGCCATCTGTTCCTTCTACCTGCAGTGTCCTTCCCCATCTGGCCCACCTGGCAAAATCCTACTCGTTTTTCAAGTCCCTGCACAAGGATTTCCTCTGAGAAGCCCGTCTGAGTCCGCCCACATTGTAGTTCACTGCTCTGTGTTTCTTCTGTATCTTATACAGCTCATGGTGGTAGGATACATAGTGGTTCAGAGAATGGGCTCTGTAGTCCGACTGCCCAGGCTTAAACCCTGGCTCTGTCACTATCTGGCTGTATGACCTTGGGCAAATTACTTAAGGTCATTATGTGTCAAATTTCCTAGCAGTAAAATGGAGATAAAAAGAGTCCTACCTCATACGGTACCTATGTACTGTGTGATCAGTACACGGTAGCATGCATTCCATTGTACACAGATCATTTCTTTATGCTTCTGTTTTTTCCAGTTATAAAAAGACATTGTGTATTTGGCCCACATAGCAGACAATGACTGGTAAGTGATTCTTTTCAAAATACCGAATGAGGGCTGGCTGGTTGTTCAGTTGGTTAGAGTGCCCTGTTATAACACCAAGGTCAAGGGTTCGGATCCCCCTACTGGCCAGCCACTAAATATATATATATATATAGAGAGAGAGAGAGAGAGAGAGAGAGAGAGAGAGAGAGACCATATATATATAGAGAGAGAGAGACCATATATATATAGAGAGAGAGAGACCAAAACAGAAGATAATGGCCTGTGACAAAAGTCTGTCCAGGTGTGTTCACTTATTGTGATATGAGTAAAGTTAATGAAAACTCAGGGAAAGGACCAGAGGTAATTGTCACCGTCTTTGGGGGGTCTGGACTTCAGGCAGATAAAGGAATAGTTTCATCCTGTGATTTGGAGAGTGACAGAGGATTGAGAGACAGAGGGGGGTGGGGGCAGAGAAGGCTGCTGCTTTATTCCAGCATGTCAAAGCACCATGGGGAAACCGCCTCTGAGCCCCAACACAGCAAAAGAGAGAAGAGAAGGCCATTCTGGATTTTGCTGAGTAGATGGGGAGTGAGGCTCTTTCCCAAGCTATGGGAGGAGGAGTTAGTGAAAATAAAATGTCCTCATTACTAGCCTCTCTCCATGACTTCGGAGTGAAAGTCCATGCAGTTTGGTGGCTGGTCTAAGGTGGTGTGCATGCGGGTGCACACGCAGGCACACGTGTGGAAGTGTGGGCCCCTCTGCAGTGAGCCTGCAGGAGTCTCCAGGGAAAGGGTGAGGCCATCTTGTACTGGAGCAGGAGAGGAAGCAGCTTCTTGAGCTAGGTGGGAGGCTGTGTCCGCTTTCACTTGGCAGATCCCCTAGGGCACAGCCAGATAAAGGCAGTTTTGTTACTGTCATTAGGACCCCTTGTGCTAAGGCCTGGGAAAACAAAGGTTAAGTGAAACACTAGAATCCTCAGTCTAGCCCAAGCCTGGCACACAACAGAGGTGCAACAAGTGTTGATTGAAAGCTTTAACAGTGAAGGAAAGGTTAGAGGGGATTAGCTTTGCGTGGCCTCCAAAGGGGTACAGGTACCGCCAGGAGGAGGTGCTTCAGGCAGGCAACTTCAGGGCAGTGTATAAATCATTTTCAGGTTGTCAGCAGTGTGAAGAGTGGCTCTGTCACTGGGCTGGGTGAGCAAAATGAAGGTGGTGGTGATGATGATGTTAATAACTCCTACGACTGAGCTCTTACAATGAGCCAGGCCTTGGGCCAGGGGCTTCCCCTACACGGCCTCATTCAAGCCTCACAACAGGACTATTATCATCTCCATTTTGCACATAAAGGAAGTGAGGCTTGGGCTGCACTGTCTAATACACAGCCACTACCCACACTGGCAATTTAAATTTAAATTAAGTAAAATCCAATGAAGTAAAAAGTTCAACGCCATGTGGCTAGTGGCCAGCACAGCTATACAACATTCCTGTAGCTGCAGAAAGTTCACCGGACAGTGTTAGCTTCCAGAGATTTGCTCACCTGCCCAGGATGACATCTCTCATGGACCTAGAACCCAAATGAAGGTGTGATCCTGGTAACCTCGGGGGCTGCTGCGTGAATCTGGAAACCAAGGCTCCTAGATCTGGTTATCATCTGACTACTGGTTTTCAGGGACATCTCAGGAAATTATTTCATTAAAAATGTCTGGTTTAATCGTTTCCCCCATAGAGACGGGAGGGTAACAGGACCTAGCGCTGCCTTTCCATTCTGGCCCTCACTCCCACCCCACCTGGACACTAAGCCAGTCCCCGAGGCTCATGGTGCGTGGAAATGGAAAACATAGATTATGTTTGAAATGGTGGAACCAAGACACCAGGCTGAAGAAAGCTCCAGCTTTTTATGGCTGCTTCCTTCAGGGACTGTAGCAAGTTGCCTCAGTTCGTGTCTCCATTAGTGGAGCACTCATTCGTTTAACAAACACGCTGAGCTCCAGCTAGTGCCAAGCGCTGTTCCAGGCCCAGGACCCATCCCTGCCCTTCTATTGCCTCCTGGCAAAAGTTAGAATGGGCCATTTCTATAAATACAGGTCTTAGATTTGGGTTTAGGGGCTTGAAGCTGCTCGGGGAAAAGACAGTGCTGTTTGTTAGTTAATAACAAGAAGGGACCGTCGAGGCCCGTTCCTTGGCGACGATACCCATCCAGAGGGGCCCTCGCCTACCAGGTGACCTCAGGCGCAGGTTCTCCAGCCGCAGCCACAGGTCCCAGGTCGGAGAGGGGCGGGGCGGGGCGGGCGCCCGGTACCAACTCAGGGAAAGGACCAGA